AAATGAGAGAGAACAGTGCCATGATCCATTTTCAGACCACATTAGGAAAGATTTACCCAGAGAAACCCAAGAGGAACTAATATTAATATAAAGGTAGTCAAGAAGGAAATCCAGAAGTTGGAGAAATAATAATGGTCATCACACCTGTGGGGTGAGGTAAGCTTCAAAAAGGCAATCCTGTTTTCAGGAGACAAAAAAATCATACAAGAGATCAGAAAATCTATTCAGTAAAGATGCTTTCAACAATAAAGTTATATGAAAGGCTCATCTATATGCCATATAAGGTGTAACCAGATGTTTTCCCACTGTTTTCTAATGTTCAACTTTTTTCTTATTCAAAACCTCAGCTTCCTTAAAATCTCTTTTCAAATATTTCCATCTCTTCTTCCCTTTACATCTCTACTGTCTCTGATGAAGAGGTATTTGTCTTGCATTCCAAACCTAACCCCTTATCTCTCTATTCAGTCGTTTCCAGGGATTACAAACTCAGAAGTTTTCATAAACCAGTTAAACAAAAAATTGGCCTGGTGGGAGACGTGGGATTTGTGGGGACAATGAGAAAAGAAAAGGTATATGCCTTATATAAAAATATTCAGATTTTGAATATTTCTGTGCTGACTAAATATGCATGTCTTCTGGCTACATTGGACTCAGTGGTCGGCAGTTTGTGATTTCTGCTTTCTCAGATTTGAAGGGTTGTTTCTCTCCTTCTGTCTCCTTCTGCTCACAGGACTCTTCAAATAAAACCATTTTTCAACCTGCCATTCACTGCCAAGCATCTCTCTTTCATGGTCATGTATGTTCTTGCTTTCATATTACCTCTATTTTAAAAATAAATTTAATTTAAAAATATTTAGAACATATAGAAAAGCACTAAAAGCAATATAACTGATTACCATTTGCCTATTGGAGACATTTAACAGATGCTGATGTTTTTCCAAGTTCAATTCCTGTAAAGTTTTTCCTTTAGAAATAAAAATTTCAACCCCCATTTTTCATTTTGCCTTTCTTAGAGATAACTACTAACTTGAAGTCCATGTGTATCTTTCCTCTGGGTTTTCAAAAATCTTTATCTTGTATATATATAGCCATAAACAACATACGATAGTATTTGATGTTTTTATCACTTAGATATACATTTTCTTGATAAACATATCCTTTTGAAACTTACACAATTGTGTCCTTCACATTTATAATTACCGTATACAGTCATTCAGTGAATGTCTTTATTACTTTTTGTTCACACATGTGACAACTTCTCCAAAGTATAGTTCTTGAGCTGGAGAATTTCAGACTTTGTAAACTCACCTGGATGTCAGCTGTATACAAAAATTTGACATTTGTTATATCTTTACCAGCACATGATGTTTCCAGACTTTTAAAAATTTGTCAATTTAATGGGAGATAAATTATATCTCAGTTATCTAATTTGCATTTTCTCACTAATAGTTAAATTGAGCGAGTCTTCAAATGTATACTTGCCATTCAAATTTTCTTTTTATGAATTACATGCCCACAGCCTTTGTTTTTTTCCTATTGGATTATTTATTTTTTGTGGTTGTTTTTATTTAGCCATCTATATATATCCTACTCTGACACTAACTAGCATTATTAGTCTTGGAAAAGTCACTTAGTTTCTGTGATTAAATTGCCTCCTTTGAAAAGTGGGCAGAATAACAGTACTCACAAGTTTGTTATAAAGATTAAATGAGTTCGTATGTAAGGCACTTGAAACGGCCTGGCATATACAAAGCATTATATGTTTTGTGCCATATTGTAATTTTATTGTTACTAAACCTTAGTTCTCTCACAGTGTTACAAGTAATTTTCCTAGTCAGCAGCTTATAATTTGACTGTGTTTATGATATGTTTTTCATACACAAAATTTTTATTTTGATGTAGAAAAATGATGATGTTCTCCTTGATGGTTTGCACTTTTTGTGCCTTGTTAAAGTAAGTGTTCCGCAGCCTAATAGAAAAGAAATATCTTTTTGTGGGTTTTTTTGGGTAAGTTCTTTGCATTTGCCACTTCTAATTTTAATCCATCTGGAAATGGTGTAAATGTGGAGATCTAGTTGTATCATTTTCCACATGAAGAGCAGATACCCTGGCCTCTTCTATTGACTGAGCCTTCCTTTCTCACTGATGAGCTCTATCTCCCTCCTTGTCAGATTCCATGTTCCTACTTATATTTGGAATTATTGTAAGTCTCTCCATTTTCTGCCATTGATCTATTTACCTATTATTACACTTTTCAGCCCTTGATCCTTGCAATTTCCTGACTTCTGAGTCTTTGAAAGACTTTGAGTTGACAGTTTTTGAAACTCTTGCTTTCCAAGGGACAATATTACCTTCGTTTATGAGTATAGGTTCCATGAAGCTATAGTGATGGATGTCTTAAGTAATCCGATCTTGCCCCTTTTAAAGGTTCACAATCTAGTGAAAAAAATTAATTAAAATATTAAGTTAAATATATAGTGTATAGTGCGCATATGATAAGTCGTTATTCCAGAGCCTATTAGCTGCCTGGGGCACGTAAAACATGTAACTATTTTTGGTATTAGAAATTAAATATCTTGAAATGACTATGTTCTTTTTCTTGTTCAGACTAAATGGCACCAATACATTTCACAGCATCATTTATTGTGTTGCATTCCTATTCCTTTCCAGAGATAAAAGGCTATATTATATTTCATAGATTTGAATCTACAGTGGACTGATTTGTTGCCACGGACTTTAAAAATCCATTAAGAATGGAGTCAGAAATAGTGAATTAATTTGAAATTCTTTGTCGTTATGGATGAAGTGAGAAAAGTGTATATAAAACCATTAATCATACTTCAAAATGTAGTTAAAAATGAATCAAGACAGATGTAGTAACTGTATTTTCTTTTTGTTATCCCCTTAGAAGTCCCAGCCCTTTAGAAAGTCTTAGTTAAGTGTTGCCGAATATTAATTGGCTTTTTCCATTTCTTTTATTTTGATAAGTATGTCTTGTCATAGAGCCATCTGTGCCACTGAAAGAAGTAAATTGTTACCTAATACATTAGGTTTGTACCTAGCTTAAGTGAACATAAAAATAAAAGGCATATAAAGCTTGAAATCATATATAAGATCAAACATAATTAATATAACAAAAAGCCCTCTGAAATCACAGCTGCTGTTAATTAATGGAGTTAGCTATATTCCAGCCATTCTTCAGTTCCTCAAACTACAATTACAAGGCTTTTTTAAAGATAACAAAAAGTTTTAAAGTGATATTTGATATTTGGCTGGAGTAAAAATGAGGAAGCTGTAATGACTGTCTAGAAAAAGAAATTATGTCACAGAAGTACTTTTCTGAATTTACTGGCTTGACACATGGGTAATTTTTTTTTTTTTTTTTTTAGA